GTATATATAAAAATTCACCTATGAGGTATTTTACCATATTTTTCAGTGAGTATTATCGCTTATTATTTAAAAAATACATGTAAAAAGCTAATATTTTGAGAATATTATATTGAATTTATAAAAATTATAAAACTGTTATTTATAAAAATGGATATTTTGAGCATATATACTATACTTTATATTGCATTTATAAAAATAAAACTAATATTCATAAAAATGGTAATAATATTTTTAGCATATACTATATTTTATATTGCATTTAAAAAAAATAAAACTAATATTTAATTTATAAAAATGGAAAATATTTTGAGAATATACTATATTTTATATTGCATTTAAAAAAAAATAAAACTAATATTTAATTTATAAAAATGGAAAATATTTTGAGAATATAATATATTGTATTTAATTTACTATTTAATTTATAAAATAAAAATAAATCGCTATTTAAAAAAATGCATGTATAATAAATAGTATTTTTACAATATAATCTAATTGCACAATATTAATATAATTTATTTTATAATATAAATTTTTAACAAAAAGAAGATAATTGAATTATGTAATATTGTAAAAAAAAATAATGAAAAATGTTGGATTAAAAACTTTCATGACTCAAGGTAAAATATAATAAATGCAATAAATATTTGACAGTTTGCAAAGTAAAAAACCAACATTGACGAAACCCTATACTCAAGAAAGATATTAAAAATTCACAAATTATCATGAAGAAAGAGAAGCATATCTACCTTTTCAGGTTGAAGATTACTTCATCTTTCTTCAAGAATTCTCCTAGTAGTGGAAAAATTCCGCTCACAGCTTGCACTTGAAGCAGGAATTGCCAATACCCGTTTTGCCAAATTTTGCTAAATTTGGAAATTCGCTTTGATGAGCCGCCCACCACTCTAACAAATTATCCACCTTAAATGTCTCATCTTATTTTTTTATTTATGTAATTATAATATTCATCATCGGGTATTGACATATTACCAGAATTACCAACACCCCATTTGTCATAAAACGATTCAGTTTATTAAACAACAGTCGTAATTTGACTGGTCGATGGTATTTCATTTACTTTCTGAGCCTCTTGTAATTTACTATAATCTTTTATATAGTTTTCCGTCATCTTGCGATCTGTCCCTGACAACATACGTAATTGCTTGAATTTGGGACAGAGAAAAAGAGAAATAAAATGATACTTGTGTAAAACAAATTTTTCAATAGATATGAATTATAAAAAAATATATTAATACTTTGAATAAATTTGCAGGGAAATTAATAATTAGATCGATCTGTGGGAGGTAGTGTTAACCATCACCCAATATTATATTAATCATAAAATATAATATATTTTTATAACCATTAACTCATAATGTAAAAATTTTTATAAAAAATATTAAGGCACGGCCCGGGTTTAGGGCCGGGCCTGCAGGTCTCTGATTAAAATACAAAGGCATAAACTAAAACAAATTGATATTTTTTTTTAAAAATAAATTTGGTCTACTTTGTTATCAATTTTAGCACCCTCGAGGAAATAAATGATAACATAATCACATATCATTTTTTAAAAGAAAAAAACTATAATTTCAACTGGGATTATATAAACCCTTGTATAGAAAAAAATAATCAAATAACGAGATACATATGGCAAATTTGTTTTTATTGCAATAATATTCCCAATTTAATATTCTCAATATTCATAATAAATAACCATATTTAAAATTAAAAAAATTTTTTTTTTATCAAAAATATAATGTTTATAAAGGCTTAAAAAAATGAGTTTACATCTATAAAAGCTGATTTTTAAAAACGGCTAACTCAATATTTTAGCCAGAGAAATAATGCCTCAAGATTTCGATAACATATGACTAGACCTTTGTTCCTTCTATGAGAAAAATTTTCAGGCTTGGGCAATATTTTCCTAGATGAAGTAATGAGTTAGCCGCTTTTGAAAATCGGCTCTAAGCTAGCCATTTAACAACACTATTTTACATCTGGTATCGAAATATCTAATGGTGATTCAATTCCATTTCTAAGGAAGTAATTATATAAAAAAAGAGTTTATCATAAATTTATTTTGATATATAAAATGTCAATCATTTATAATTTAGTTTTGATTGATGTATTGGACAATAGCTTAATAGTTTTTGAAATTAACTGTATGATCTTTATGATTCAGTAAATTAGCATATATTACAAATTTGTATAACTGTGGGCCATCTTTTCCTTAAATTTCCGGTAAAAAAAATGGTAAAATGAATGAATGCTGTATTTGTTTTCGAACTAGTATAGATATGATTTTAATGAATGACATATTTTTATGAATTTGTATAATAAAGAATTTATTATAATACTTTTAGAAATTTTTGTAGGAATTAGGTGATTTGGGGTGTGGTTGTATTGGTTGGGAAAGTTTAGAATTGATATGAAAGAACAAGTCCGGTTGAACGAGAATTTTATTTTTTTTAAATGAATTTTTGGTGATGTTAAATTATGTCGTTTTTATATATGTATGAAATATAACAGTCAAAATATATACTTTTTAAATCAATCGAACATAATATATTATAATACGAAAAATAACTCGTCAAACAGTAAAAATATAAACTTTGTAAATATTATTTTACACTCATGTAGCTACAAAATTATAATATAAAATGTTATTAAATGTTTATTTGATTCAAAGATCATATGACGTCACCGTATTTTGTAATATTCAAATTTTACTATATACCGCTTGAATGAACTTATTTTTATAATTAACTTTTATTATGTAGATAATACTTCTTAATTTAGTCGATTTTAGGTCTTAGAATGATACAAAAATTCCTGATAAAATTTTTTATACATTTTAAATAAGGTGTTTAACGAAACAATAAACACCAACTTGCGGAATGAATTTTATGAAAATTATATATTTTAATTATTATAATAAGAATTATGTGCCATCTATTAAATAGATTTAAATGAGATATAATATAATTTAATTATACTTTATTTTTGAATATATCTTAGTAATTTAATTTTTATAACTTGTTTATATCATAAGAAATGGCAATTTCTTTTAAAAAATCTATCGTCTACTTTTGGATATTAATATATATATATATTGATTTTAAGTTTTCGTTATTTCAAAGATATTTATTTTATATCTAACGGCAAGATTTTAATTCTTAACTTATTAATTTTTATATATAGTTTATATCATAAGAAAATGCAATTTTTTAAAAAATCTATCTTCTTACAATTTTGGGATTGTTAAGATATATTGATTTTATGTTTTATTTCAAAGGATATTTATTTCACATCTTAACAGCTATAACAAAATGAAGATTTTGATGACAATTTTAAGGTAACTGAGAGGAAACGAAATAGTGATGATCAAGCCGATGACAATACGTTAGCATTAAACATAATGGACATAAGGCACCCAGTTATAGCGACGATTTGAATAAACTTGCGTACAAGATCAAGAACAATTTAGAACGTTTTTTTGTACCCAAGGAGAACCTAGGCGGAGTTTTCTTTGGAGGGTGGAATGTTAGATATATTGATTTTAAGTTTTCGTTTTATTTCAAAGGATTATTTTATACCTAATGGAAATAACAAGGATTTTGTTTCTTAATTTAAGAAATCAGTTTATATTGATCTCAATCAATAAAAGACAGCAAAAATTAATGACTTTATATAATTGTGATTCACTAATATTATACTTTTTTCCGATAATTGTGAAAATTATAACTTTTTTCTTAGTTTTGTAATCATTATTTGACTTTATACTAAGCTTTTCTATTTACATTTTTTATTATTTTATCAATTAAGTTAAATTTAATCTTAAACAAAGAACATTTTATTTTCGTTTTTCGTACTTAATGATTGATTATTATTTATTTTATCGATGCAATAAAATAGATATATATATCAAACATTTTACTAAAAAGGAAGATTTTTGATGTATGACTATGATATATTTCTTATGATTTGCCGAAAATAAAATTATAGAAAAAAAATCCCATGTTTAATGGCGGACCTTCTTTTTAGCAGGGGTAATTTATAAATTTTTATGAGTAGTTTGGATTCGATGTAGTTCAACAAAGATGTCATAAGGTAGGTGCCCAGATAAAGGAATGGGCCACCAGTTATAAAAATTATAGACAAGATTGTCCATATCAGACACTCTAGAGAGGTTGTCCAGCAGGTTAAAGTAAAAAAAGGGACAGTTAATCGATATAGACAAGTGATGATGACTACTCACAGTTAATGATAATAAGGAGCATTTGGAATCTAGAATAAATTGATGTTTCAAGCGAAAACGGATTGTTCACGGACGGTTCAACTCCACGAGGACTGTATACATGTGTATGAGTAGCGACAAATGTAGGGGCAGAATTGGTTATGGTGACTGTGTGGCTCTATATAAGAGAAGAAATGGAGATATTAGGTGATCAGAAAAGAGTTCGAAAAAAGATATTTCGTAAGTTATGGATTTTATACGTGAATATGGAATGCCATCATGTCGCATTATATGAATCAAATTAGCATGTGATATATATATATAAAATTAAATAAATGAAATAAAACTAAATGAATTCTATCATAAAAAAATTAACTTTTTTATCATGATCAAAAATATGAGACTTGTGTCTCTGTCTGAATCTTTAATACTAAAAGGAGTTAAATAGACTTATGGCACAACATTGAAATATATGAAAATAAGATGGATTAGCTATGCTGAAATTAGAAAAGATTTCTTTTTACATGCGATAAATTGAGTGATTGTTTAGTAAAATAATAACCGAGTACGCTTTAACAATTGAAAAAGACCCCACACTAATTATAACGTCGTTCGGAAAGCGTCTCAATTTTTTTTTAAATATAAATTTATTATGTGAAAATTTGATCATAAAATGAGATGATTCTTAAATTTTTTTTACATACATTTTAGGGCTTCCTAGAGGAACGATTAAATATGACTTAAATGTATTCTTTTAGTTGGTATTTCAATATAATAGATATGGGTAAAAATATATAATCGCATAAAATATATTCATATAAAATTTTTATTATTTTAAAAAAAATTAATAAGTGTTAATTCATCTTATATGAAACATTGAAGAGGACTTGTAAAGGAAAATTGTAGCTCATTTAACCCTATTTCTGCCCTCTATTATTTTATGAAAGTGATGATAATAGACTCAGGTGGGGAAAGCCTTATACAGCCCTGGGAAAATAGGAATTCGTTATTCTGGAAGTTGATTTCGTCAGGCACAAAACAAATTAACCAAGAATCATGATCTTCTAAAATAAAATTATTTAAATAGGGATCGAATTTAGCTTCTTGTTTCATCAAGGTAAAGCATAAGTCACGAGGTTAAGGTAAATGTTTTGCGTCGAATAATAACATCTTAAATAATACGGGAACATAAATAATTGATTAATAAAACACGTGATAATATAAGTAATAAAAAGTGACGGAATAGTCAATCAATCAATCAATCAATCAATCAAAATAAGAATATTAAATTTTCCTTTTTAAGCCCCGCCTTTTCTTGACCAATGGCGAAGTGCAAATAAATTTCTTCAATTTTTTCAGCGCTTTTTGGTAAATAGCTTGCAAATCTTCGGACTCGACTCCCTTTTTCAAATCCGTCCCTGGGTCATTTAAGCTCGGCTTCATGGCTAAATCGTCGGCGGTTAACGGATGACAAAAGGTATCTATAAGGTTATCGCGGCACCAATTAGCCTTCGTAAACATGTTCTTAAAATTTTGAAGCTTGATAGGAATAAGTAAAAAAAAATAATGATGATAATATCCTATTTTCCGCGGAGATTGTTTTAGCAGGTATAAAAGAAGGAAATTTATCATCAATAATCGATAATCATATTGAGATGATTAGAGACGATTTGGACTAACTAATGTTAAAAAGCGCAATTTGGGGCGATTTTTTTTATAACGGCCCGATTGAGATGTTAGCTAAATTAATATTATGTAAGCATTAACGACGTATAATAATACATAGACCGAAAATGTTATACATTAAAAGTGTACACATCAATGAAAAACAGCTGGGGACGCCACTTTGGTTACCCATATCATTATTAAAAATTTTTTAAACGAAAGGCCAATTTATTCCTATGTCTGCTGCAAACTTTATTAAAGAATTGCCTTATAATCGAGATTAGTAGTTTTTAACATAAGAATAATTACTACGACGCTCTCAAATGCAATATTAAGAATGTATCGTCAGTAATAGGTATCAATCATTATATGTCATTGGCAAGCGTCGAGATTTGGCAAATAGATGTCAAAGACATTTCTGTCAGTTATGAGCAAAATCTTTGGGGTTACATGACGTTTATAATCTTAATCGGACCGTTTTTTTAAATCAACCAAAATTGGGGTTTTTAAGAATACTACTTGGGGGTTCCAGTTCCCTAAAAAAATTTGTAAAAATTATAATGAACATTCATCTCACCGCCCCCCCCCACCATTTTTAAAGATTGCAATTAAAAAATAAGCGTATTTTACTCGTTCGGTTATAAGTTCCATTTCCGGTATCCATTTTGAAAAAAAATAAAATAAATTCTTACTTGTACATCCTCGACGAACGTTACGGCTTGGCCCATAGACCCGGCCCTGGCGGTCCTTCCGCATCTATTTTTTTTTTAAATTTAAAAATTAAATTTTATAAGTCATGGATTCGAAAATTTAATTTCTTATCTTTACATTTTAAGGCGAATAACTCCATTTTATATTTTTTAAGAAATTCTTAGTGTCGTAAACTGCCACTTATTATATTTACGAAAAACCCTATATTAAACATAATATGTCAATCACGGATTGTAACGTTGTGATTGGACATAATATTAATATAGTTTGTGTAATTTTTGGAAAGGTTTATTTAAAACTTTTCATAAATTTTTTTTGTATCTTTTAAAAATTAGTAATATATTTTTTTTCCCTAATATTCGTCCTCTACACTATTTCGATCATATAAAATATTCGTCCTCTACCTTTTCGCTTATTTTATTTAAAGCGAAATATTCGTCCTCTACCTTTTTGGCCATTTTTTTTCAAAAATTATAAATGCTTTTAAATAATTATATGGAAATTTTTTCAGTTTACCCGAGGTCATTTTCCAAAAATTTGTGATTTTCCTAGCAGTATAAAATTAATATTTAATTCGGTTTAAATATCAAGAATATCAGAATTTTAAATGGAAAAATTGATTCACATTGTTTAAGAAAGAAAGAAAGGCATTCAACGATTCTATCTTACAGCTTACCCTTGTGTACTGTCAGAGTCGGGCAGGTCTCCGGAAAAAGAATCTGAATACAGATTTTTTATAAAAAAAATGAATCTTAGATACAGATATAGATATTAGAATCTTTTGCTAAGTTAGAATATCTCAAATACAAGATACTTTAAAATTGTCATTACCAATTATATAAGAATGGTTTATAAAATACAGTTTTTAAGATACAAGATTCTTTTCAGAATTAAATGTAAAAAAGATTCTGAGTACAAGGTACAAAAGGATCTGGTCATCTGGTATCTTAGATACAAATATTTGTGGTACTGCCCAACTATGTGTACTGTGAAGATATTAGCTTAACTTGAGGCATTATATAGTTTAAATTAGATGAGATATATTTCAAAATTAAAAAAGTCTTCAAAGCAAGGAGTAGAATTTGAAAGTTTAGGGAGATATGAGTTGGGATTAAGATATATTAAATTTAGGATTCTGACAGATCCTGTAATTGTAAATTAGACGAATAGAAATTTAAAACATATTATCGCAGTTGTGAAGGCAATTTCTGTGAGTTGGACCATAATTAAACCAATTATATTCTTATGATTTGAATAAAGGCATAAAAGTAAACCTTTTTCTTTTTACCTGTGAACGTAATTTTTTATCTTTATTGGGACGTCGTAATTCAAAACTATCAAATTATTGAGATCTTGGGAAGAAAATTTCAGATCCATGCCCCTGGCCATCAAATCGGAACAAACCAATATTTTGAGATCGTCGATTCGCAAATTCGAATGCGCGTTGTCATAATTTTGTTTCAAGTAGGGAATTTTTTGTGGTGCAGGAAGTGTGGTGGAGGACTGGAAAGATTTCAGGATCTTCTTGCAAATCACCCTATTGTTCAGACTGCTGAATTCTTTGGCAGGGTGTACAAGAATATTCGTAAAATTGAGCAATTTTGCGAGTCTGATAATTTAATTTGATTTTTTTTATAAAAATTAATGTTCGCCACAAAAAATTTTTTGTTTGGAGGTAATGAGATAAATTTTTTTATTTAAAAACCTATTTTCAAGCCTGGCTTGCATTTTTTTTAAAAAAATTCTATCATTTTACACCTTACCCAGCCAAATTTTTTTTAAATTTCTTGAATTTTAAAATTTTTTAGCCATATTTTATAAATGGTATCATAGGGGGGGGGGAGAATTGAAAATATTTTAAAAAGATATATACTTTTTGAAAATTACCCTGGCTTGCAGTTTTGGGAATAATATTATTCTTGCCCAACCCATTCCCTTAATATATCATTTATTTTTTAAGCCAGACCCATATGTTTACAATGATGTCATTATATGGGATCCATTCCAGGTTTTAACATTTGCCGAATATAGATTAAAACTATATAAATTATACAAAAACTCAATCATAAAAAATCCTACCGGACACTAGATTCAACGGACTTAGTGAAACACAGAACTCTCCTCATGGGGTTCTTTGTCTCACTTTTTTCCTTTCCTGAAGCTCGATTCTTTGACAAGTAATCCAAATTAAACAATAACCATAGCAGATATAAAGGTTTTTGGACCTTGGTAGGGCATACCATATAAAATTGTTGCAAGGATGGAGGTAGGCTATATTTAGCGTTATTCGGAATTGGCGTAAGAGTTGCTAAAAAATTTTCAATTAATATTTAAACAATCATCTCTTAGACGGAAAAAATATTCTTAATTTTGTCACTCATATTTTCTTTATTGCTTTTTAACCAAAATTTAAATGAGCAAAAATACCAATATCAACAAAAAATATTTTAATTGATAAGAGTATAAAAATGTACCATGAGGATGAAAAGCCTTGCTTTCAAATAACACTGGTAAGAATAGGTTAAGTTTAGATAGTCTGGAAGGTTCTGGTGAAAATGTAGCAGAAAAAAGCATTTTTCTAGGTGGCCAATTAAAGTAATTAGTTGTAGTCAGGGCTCTTTCCAAATGGAATAACCAATCTTGTTTAATATCTAGTAACATTCTGTCAGCTTCATCAATTGCAATATATCTTATGAGATTACATTGTGATTAAAAATTATTTATTTTGTATCATTTATGCATATTAAAATATATAACAATTTACTTTAAATTATTTAAATCAAATCCATCTGTGCTATATATATGATCTATTAATCTTCCAGGTGTTGCTATAATAATATCTACCTTAGATTTTGGTTTATGATCAAAATAATTTTCTAATATATCAACATTTGTATTATAAGAATTATCATCTAATGATTTATAATTTTCAATAATCATTTTTCTCTCAAGCTCAATATTTTTATCACCTGTTATCATAACTACCTTTTATGAATACATAATATATAACTCTAACACATTAATTACTTTAATCCCCAAATTTGCACTAAATATCTCAAAGATTTTGTTAACTTGGTGTGCTAGATCTTTAGTAGGTAGCAATATTAATGCTTTAATTTTGCCATCTGATATATTTTTATGTATAGATGATGCATTAAAATTTTTTTTAATCAAATAAAGATGTTGAATAATAGGTAAAGCATATGCTAATGTTTTGCCACTCCCAGTAGGAGATTTTACACATATATCCTGAGGCCTCATAAGTGAGTCTATTAGATACATATAATTTTGATTTTTTGAATTGTTGTATAACATTTTAGCTATAATAGCACGTTGAACTGGAAACAATCTATAAATTTCGTTTTCTAATAAAGTTTTCCGTATTTCAGTTGAGAGCAATTGTATAATAGACGAGGAAGAATGGCCATCAATTATGTCATCATTATTAGGGTCATTAGAAAAATATGTTGGATCTTCAAGCCAATCAGGCAATTGAGCTTTAACCTAATTTTTCATATATATAAAATAGTTTATTACAATAAAACTTTTTGTTTCTCATGTATCTTGGCTTCCTCTATGATCTGAAATACATTATCATCTGGGACAGTTGACATCATATTTGAAAAAATGTACTTTTTAATTTTTTTTTATAAAAGTTAGTAATTTGATCGATTAAGTATTGACAGGTTGGACGTATTAAATAAAATTACTTTTTACTTCAAAATATTGAGTAATACACATCAGGTTCGTTCTTTATACATGATTATTCATGAATAACTAATATGGGACTTGGAAAAGGGTTTCCAAATCCAGGAAAAAAGCACATATCTCTCTTTTTTATAAACTTAAACAGCTATCACTATAATTAGTTCCAATTACTTAATATTTAAAAAATCTTAGCTAAATTTATTCAATTAGCATCCTCTATATTACTTTTTCTTAATATTTGTTTAAAAAATATTTTATATGTTCTTTTATAACATAGATTTGTATGTTAATCTTTAATGTGTATATATATATATTAATTCTTTTCAATACAGAAATTTCAAATTCTTAAATTTAAAAATCTTAGCTTTCACATATAAATTTTGAGCCCACAGGACACATTTATGAATAGCATAACTAGTAAATTAAAATAAAAAAATTCATGTTATAGCTCTTACCAAAGAAATTAGAGTGTATTATTTTTTAAGAACATAACAAATTTATCAATAAAATATAGTAATATGCCACCCCATAAAAATGCGAATCATAGTAATTTATCTTACAAGATCTAAGCTGAAGAATGTTATTTATAGTCAACAATCATATAAGTAATCAGTTTAAGGTTCGGTTAAACATCTGATTTTTGAAAATGGACTACGATTTTAAAATGAGAACGAATGCTCTGAGAGTTAATGTAGATGATATGTTTACTTATGAAGGCTGCAAAGTTGGCAGAGGTACATACGGACATGTTTATAAGGCTAAACATAAGCTTGAAAAATCTGACAGAGAATATGCATTAAAATTAATAGAAGGTACTGGTATATCAATGTCTGCTTGCAGGGAGATAGCATTATTAAGGGAATTAGAGCATCCAAACGTTATCAATCTTATTAGAGTATTCCTATCACACATTGATAGAAAAGTAACAATTTTATTACTAAATTTATCGTGATATATTATTTAACAGGTATGGCTACTCTTTGATTATGCTGAACATGATCTTTGGCATATTATTAAATTCCATAGAAGTGCCAAAGCTAATAAAAAGTTAATTGCTGTGCCTAAGAGTATGGTTAAAAGTCTTTTATATCAAATTTTAGATGGAATCAATTATCTGCATAACAATTGGATTTTGCACAGAGATTTGGTTAGACATTCTTTTGCATTTGTTTAATTTAAAAAATTATTTGGCTAAATATCAATTTTGTTTACCCTTAAATATTTTTAAGAACTTCCTTTAACTTTGCAAAGTATTTAATAATGATCAAATAAAGAAGTTTCTAAATGCAAATTTGATTTTAAATTGTTGCTCACCTCATCAATTTTAACATTCACAGATTGTTTCATTTGGTGTAAATATTAGGGACCTGCAAAAGTAGGCCCAGCCCATACCCAGCTGGGCCAGGTCTATGTTTTTTTTAAAAAATTGGGTTCGGGCAGGGTCGGGCCTAAAATTATTTTAAAAATTAAATTTGAATTTTTTTAAAATATATCTAAATTTATCAATTTGTTGTCGATTTTTTTTTATGTAAAATAAAAATATTTGATTTTATTTATATGTACATCTTTTATTTTGAGTAATTATAAAAATTAATTTTCTATATACAAATAAATTTGGGCTAGGCTCGACTGTTAATTTTTTTTTTTTTAAATTTTGGGTTCTGGGCCAGACCATGCTTGAAAGATTAGGCCCAGTGCAGATCACCTGAAATATGTTTGTCTGGCTGAGGCAACTCACATGCTTATAAGAAAAAATACTATTATTTTTAGATCCTATCCTAGAAATTGTACGACTATTAATTTATTATTCTTCTTCAATACACATCATACAGAAACCGGCGAATATTTTAGTGATGGGCGATGTGTCCAATACTCAAACACTCAACAATGGAGTCAAGAGAGGACTTGTCAAAATTGCTGACATGGGGTTCGCTAGGGTATTCAATAATCCTCTGAAGCCTTTGGCAGATTTGGACCCCGTCGTTGTTACGTTTTGGTACAGAGCCCCAGAATTATTGCTCGGTGCAAGGCATTATACCAAGGCAATAGGTTTAATAAAAAATTTCATTTAAAATTAAACAAAAAAATGGTTTCTGTTATAAGAATTTTTTTAAACCAGTTTTCAATTCAATTATATTTAAATAAACAATAAAATAAACTGCTTTACCTTATTTTAGGCATGATAGTAAATTATAAACCATTTTACAAAATATCAATATTTTTAGACTTGATGCCAAGATCATTTTTATTAAAAAACCACACCAAAATGTTAAAATTAAAAAATATATTTTTAAACATTACACGTATCACTATTAGGATTATTAAACCAATATGGCATTTATTTTCTTTAAATTTACCAACGTTAGAAAATTTTTTTAAAAAAAGGATGAAATTTTATGTTTTCAAAGTTAAAAAATACAATGATTAAAAGTAAAACTATATAAATTAGATATAGGTTCAGCCAATCTATGTTTTATTTAATCTTCATTTTTTTAAAAAAATACCTGTGCCTTCCAATATAGCCTAGAGAACATGGTGTTCATTTGAAACCACTTATCAAACATAAATTTTTTTAATAAATAAAAATGTACTTCGCTATCAGAGAACTTCGTGGGCCTTAATTTATTTGACCAGGCTTGGCCTGGCCTATATTTAATGTTAAAAGAAATTCCCAAGTCCGGCCCAAGCTCATAATAAGTTTCACAAAAATTTCCCTAGCCCGGCCCAGGCCCATATACAAAAATTTAATTTTTTATTTATTTAATGAAAATAAACAATATTTAAATATATTTAGGCAATCATTTTGTTTACAATACTGAAATTTATTATCATTAGAAGAAAACAAGGCAAAATTTCATTAAATAAGCAACTCTTTTAAATTATCTGAATTTGATAATTTCAGGCCCAAGCCCATTAAAAAAATATTTTAAAACCCAGGCCCGGCCCATACCCACTAGAAATGATATTGGGCTGGTGAAGGTCTATGTTATCTATACCGAAATTTAAAAAATATTAGCAGTTTTTTTATTCCACCATGAAGGGTTTACACAAAATTTTAAACAATATAGCTATACAACTTCTTTTAGGTATTATAGTAGTCTATATTCCAATCAATAACATTTGCTGGAGAACTTAGAACCACTTAAAAGAAATTTAACTGTCCGTTAACTGGGAGGATATGATCCCACACTCTTTAAAATCACGATAGCAATAAAACGGTATACATAATTTCGTCCTACCAAAGTATTCTTGCAAAATTCGGCTTATTTTTCACAAGGATTTTTTCTTTTGAGATATCACTGTAACTGAAAAAACAATTGGGATGTTATTTCGATACGAATCAATATTTTTGTGGGAGAAATAATTTTAATGTTTTATTTTTTTGCTAAGAATATATTCCACGATTTATCTGGGTTGCTGATAATAATTTTTTATTGAAGATTGCAAGATTTTTTTAAAAAATAAATTCATTTTTTTTTGACCACTATTAAATTTAATTTGGGGTTTTTTGCACTTCGCCTGGGGTTAACCAAAGTTTTGCTTTCTTTCTTTCTTTCTTTCTTTCTTCTCTTTCTTTCTTTCTTTCTTTCTTTCTTTCTTTCTTTCTTTCTTTCTTTCTTCTCTTTCTTTCTTTCTTTCTTTCTTTCTTTCTTTCTTTCTTTCTTTCTTTCTTTCTTTCTTTCTTTCTTCTCTTCAGAAAGAAAAGGAAAGGAAAGAAAGATTTTAAGTATGGTGGTGTCAGGTTCTGTTATACCAGTTCCCCGATTTCTGCTATGGTTCCAACAGATTTTAATGTATATATTTAATTTTTTTTAAAATAATTTACATATTCATCTTATTTTTTTTATAAAAATTAAATATATTAGAATATTAGTTTAATTAAATAAAAAAAATTTTTATGACCTAATGATATGTAAATTTTATAGCAGATGTTTAATAAGGAGCTAAATAGATCTTAACAATTTGCATTTATTTGGATAAGATCCATCTATAAACTTCCATCCTATTCTTTTTCTATATGAATTTCATACCTTCATTTCTCTTGTGCCTTTAAAATCATTGACAAGCCAAAGAAACATCCTTATATTACACCAATTAAACATGAGGGGATGGGGATAGATGTCATGTTGACGTGCGATTTATTTACGAACAAACCAATTATATCTTATCAGTGGTAAATGCGATGCTATATATTTTCTATTCGACAAACGCATCAGAGTCCCGTGACCAGGCAATGACGTCACGATATAATGTGCATTCCATGGCCTTAACCCAATAATCTCAAGGTTATTTCCGGTGGAAAACAAATTGTGACCACAAATAGTATGGTTTACCATGAAAATAGACAAAGGCATGGGGTCAATTTAGTTTAACATTTGTCTCTGCGCTTTAATGATTGTCGCAACAAAATCTGGCTTCATAAAATTGTCCTATATTCTAACCGGCATCAGTAGTAATTACTAATTCTAGTGATATACCCCTCTCTTCACGCGAACTTCTGCATCTAAGAAATTTAGGGTTCGATGAGACTGGGCTTCAAATCAATGGCGCGATTAACTCCTCGCCCTTAGACCAAGTCATCGAATTTAAATTTCGCATAAAAAATAATGGATAATGTACCAATATGAGATTTATATTTATATTGCTGAGGCTAGTGGGAGAGACTGAATATCTATGGAATTTTACTCTTTATTCAACTTCTATCAAATCCAAAATAATAATCAAAACATCGTCTGTAAATTCTTTTTAAATTAATCATCAAAATATCATCGGTCAAATAAGAAAAGTTAGAACTAAAATGATACTAAATCTTTATTAAATAATATGTTAAAAATATAATCAACTAAATTAAAAAAAATTAAAATAATGAAAAATTAAAATTAAAAAATTATAATTAAGTTCGTAAAATCATGATCTATCACTATACAAATATCCTCGAATATATATACTTTTCTATAATATTCATTTACATAATGTTTTACAAACAAACTGAAAAAAATCTTGAACTTTCTTTAATTTGAATAATCATTCTTTTTTATTCATCTTTCTTTAAATCATTTGCATTCGAAATTTAATTCTTTTTTCTCTTTCGGCTTCGTAATTTGGTTTAACAATTACAACAGATAACAGTAAATCTTGCGAAAAATTTTAAAATATTCGATAAGAATAAATAAAAAAAAATCGCGTCATTTACGTCAATCATTACGTCAGCACTTCTGTATCACAGTTAGAGTAATCGGGAAATCTGTTCATCAGCTGTAAATTGTGTAGTATAGGCATTTTCGTTTTTTTTGGGAGGATCAATATGGCATTGTTAAAAATGAAATTTGACTATAGCTGTCCCCTTCAACTACACAATCAATAAAACTGCGATTCCACATTCAGCATTTCTCTTGATATGACAACTCATATGTTAGCATAATCATGGCTTATTGGATCAGCCATGTTCCTCCTCTTGGTTATATCATCTCATAGGATAGAGTCATCCATGTCTCTTTCTATCCGCCATATTGTAAATCTCGAAATTTAAGGTACTCTTATTTGCGATATTAAAGTACCGATGATCAAAGAGATTAGGCTACATTTTCTATTTATTTTTGCAAATCGGGGTTTGAAACTCCTTGCGCATGTCAGTTGTAGCCCTCCAATAGAATCCCTCGATTTAAGGTAGGGCGTACGCAACATTTTCTAATTCTTTACCCATCGGGGTTATAAACTCTCTGCGCATGTCATTTGTAACCCTCCAATAGAATCCTTCGATTTAAGGTTGGCGTAACGCAAAATTTTCTACTTTTTTGCCCGGCTCTTAAACTCCTTGCGCATGTCAGGGCAGCCTTTCAATAGAATCCTTCGATTTTAAGGTTGGCATTACTATTTTTAACGCGAAATTTGAATAACATCTCGCTCCTTCGAAATTCCATAGGCACCCTTAGGGGGGTACAAGCAGGGCACTTCTACACCTCCCAAGCCAATAACGGAATTAACCCCCACTCTCTCCTCAAGAACTTTCCCCCCCTACCCTCACCCCCTCATCCACCCCTTTTTACTAGAGAACATTTTGTTTTTTCAAAATCTATCTGATTGGCCATAGAATCCTACATATATAAAAACCGGCAGCGATTTACACAAATATACGATCACTGAATTAAACGCGGTTACGTATGCTACGCTCTCGACTTAGCGGCACGGGTTCGAATCCCAGCCAAACCTCAGATTTTTTTTTTTTTCTAAATGGAAGGAGTATTATAAAAATGAAAATATAATAAACGGTTTCAAAAGTCGATAAATTATAATATTATCTTATTTTATTTTTTTTTATCCTATAAGAAAACTAACGTGTCCTAAATGTTTCGAAAAAAAAACCCTCAAAATTTGTAAATTTTTGCAAATTAATAAAATTATGAAACAACTCCTAAATCTTCCATTATTGTTTCTTACCAAAAAAACAACATAAAAAACAAAAAATGATTTTAGAAAACACTAATTTATTTTTTTTCAAAAAATTATTAAATTTATTTATTTTATATATACATTTTTTTTTTAAGATTTAGGACACAGCCCTTTAAAACTACGAAAAGCATAAAAATAATAATTTTACGATTAATTAAAGATATCTGGGCTATAGGCTGCATATTCGCGGAACTTCTAACCTTCGAGCCAATATTCCACTGCAGGCAAGAAGACATTAAGACGAGCAACCCTTATCACAAAGATCAATTGGATCGTATTTTTAACGTCATGGGATTCCCTTTAGGTTTTTTTTTTTTAAAAAAAAAACCACGGTTCTGCCTTTTAGCGGTTCGATCGCGGGAACTTAATCGAAAACTAGCGGGGCGGGTTTGATCCCCTTTTAGAAAACGGGTTTTCGGTTAAAGTTACCGTATCGAAATCGGGCCCCAGAACCCTGTAAAGAAAACAAAACAAATAGTTTTAAAAATGAAAAAAACGTGTTTTTTTTAAATAGAAAAGAAAATACTACTTTTACTGGGAGGAGGGGGTTGGGGGGGGGGGGTTTAATAGACGAGGATTGATTGTAGATTTTTTTTCCTGTTATTAATTTTATTGATTAATCTAATTTAAATTTGCAAATATGAATTCGTATATAAATATGTAAATGTAACAGTTGTTAGTATAAGTGGGGTGGGTTAGTGGCTAAAACGATTGTTAAGTTCACAACCTCTTACAGAAGAAAACCCGCTAAGCGTAAAAACCCGAGACCGAGGTTATGGCTTTCGGTTAAAAAAAAGTTGAGTTTAATCGGGCTAAACCGGTTAATTAGAGCGAATACAAAATAATTTCCTCATGATAAAGTATTAATTTTTTTTTTGACTCCCCCCCCCCCCCCCCCAAAAAAAAAAAACATTATATTTTTTATTCGTCGTAGAAAAGGATTGGGAAGATATCAAGAAAATGCCGGAACACATCACCCTTTTGAAAGACTTCAAGAGAGCCAATTACTTGAATTGCAACTTGGTCAAATACATGGAAAAATACAAGATCAAACCGGAATCCAAAGCATTTACCTTAGTTTTAATATGCACACATATTATATATGATAATTATAATTTTAATTTAAAAAGGGAAGGAAGAGGGGGTTGGAAGAAGAAAGAAAGATTGCGAATGTGAGAGAATCGACAGCAAACATGTTCCTTTTTTTTAAAAAATAAATTTGAATTTGGCGCTTAAAAATAAATGAGAAGTAAAATGAAAGTAACGAAATACAAAAATTTCTATCGGAAAGAAGTAACGAAATACCAAAAATCTCTATATATATATGTATCTTTTACCTCTTCACTTTTTAAGTATCTTTGATTATTAATTATCGAATCTTTTCTTCTCAAATGTTTCTTTTATATTCATAAATCTCCATAAAAATAATAAGTCATAGTGTATACCATAAATTTCTCCTTTTTTAAAGCAAAAATAAGCATCTTTTTCCTTTGTTGCCACTGTATTGTTACTTTTTCCACAAAAAATAAACAAAATACATGGCTAACAAACAGGTTCGTAAATATATATATAAATTAATTATAAATCCAATATAACGAATTTTTATCATCCTAATACAACAAAAAGTTATCGAAATTGCTGATCATGGACCCCACCAAGAGAATCACGGCCGAACAATCTATGACCGATGGCTATTTCACCGAAGACCCATTACCCACCAAAGAGTTTTAATAACATGACACTTAAAATAAATTTTTTCATTCTCAGTTTGATCCACTGGGAGTATACATATTTTTTAGAAAGAAAGAACCAATGGGAAAGGGTTTTAAAATAATGGCCGGTAAAAACTAATATGGAATGTGTGACGTAAACGTGAGCTATCGATTTTGAAAAAATTGGAATGAGTTGACAGTTTAAAGTCATTCATTTTTCATTTATAACATTTTACGGATAACCCGAAAAATTTAAAAAACGCCTGTGACTTACTTTCCTAGTTACTATATATTATTTAATTCATTCATCTTTTTTTTTTGCTGGCGGTAATGAGGGGGGGGGGTGTTTACGTGTTTATTTTTTTTTGCTTAAATTTATAATAATTTTTTTTAAAAAAATAAATATATATATAAAAGCGTATTCGATGGAATGTCTATACCCTATCCTAAAAGGGAATTCATAACTGACGACGAATCCGAGGAGAAGAACAATGTAGACAACAATAATGTCGCGAAGGTTAGTTTTCTTTTTGGCATTGACGATTATGATCTTTCGTTCATTTAATATTATCCCCCCCCCCCCCCAAAAAAAAATGTATCTTGAATAGTATCTTAATTAGAGATGTATCGGATCCTATTTTTTTTAAAATTTAGCCGATTCCCCTACCGGATCTAGAAAAATACTTTTTAATTCTCTTATTCGTAGAATGTGAATCCAAATACGATTATATATAAATTCGGTAGAATGAATGTAATATGGTTATATTCAATATTTTATTAATCTCGGGGATGTAAGTGTAATGTTTAAAAAAAAATCGATGCGTTAATATTATCGTCAGCTGAATATTATCTTTTTTAAAATTGCATTTTATTTTTTAAAGATCAATCAATCTTTTCAATTTCTGTCTTCTTCGACATCACCTATAAAAATGTTAAAATTAATCCTTTATTTTCATTCTTATGGGTTTTTTTTTTAAAAAAAAATGCTCTCCCTAAATTATAAAAATGGATATAAAACGCTCGGCCGACGTTATATATAAAAAAATTGGTCAATATCCTGTTGTTTAAAAAAAAATTGACAGATTGGCAGCAAAAAAAAATTTCTTTCTTTCCTTTCTTTCTTTCCTTTCCTTTCTTTCTTTTATGAAATTATTTATGTAAAATAAAATATATATTTTTTTTAAAAAAAATAATTTTGTTAAAGATTAACACCATGTTCAACACGAATACAAATCCCCCGAATAATAACGCGAATAGTCAGCTGATCGGTAGCGGCAACAACAACATTCAACATTCCCAACAAATGAACAATCTCAATAACTTGAACAACTTGAACAATCTAAATAACATGAACAACATGGCCGCCAATCATCACCAACAGTCTTCCAACAACAAGAGGGTGTGTATGGAAGGCGGCAATTTCTTGAATAGCCACGCAAACCTCAGCAACCATCCCAACTCATCCATGGGAAATTTGAGCAGCATGAATAACATGAATCCCAACATGAATCCAAATATGAATAACCTGAGTAATATGAATGCCAACAATAATAACGGCAACGGTCAAATAGGTAATAACATGCCTCAAGGCGGTATTTACAATAAAAATAACAACAATGGCGGGACCAATAGCGGGGCCGGTAACGGCCTGCCCAATTCTCAATACATGAGCATGAATATGAATCCCAATAACCACAACAACAATAATAACAACAACAACATGGCCAACCTCGGAAACAATAACAGGAATAACCCGTACGTGAATCAAAATAATCCTAATATTAATAGTAACAATAATCGGATGTCCAATCAAAACGCCAATAATAATATGATGGCCAATCAAAACGCGAATAATAATCTGATGGCCAATCAAAACGCGAATAATAATCTGATGGCCAATCAAAACGCCAATAATTATCAGAGGCATCAGCAAATGTATAAATAAAATATTATATTTTAAAAACGTATTTTTTAGGAATTAATTTATTATCTGAAATCGTGTTGTTTATAAACGTTTCTCGTGCCTAAAAAATAGATTATAAGCTGAACTGAAGATGCAGATTTAATATATGTATTTTTATTATCTATAGATAAAAAATTCATTTATTTTGTGGAGTTAATCAATCTAAGAGTATTTCAATATTTTATCGTAATTTTATGTGGAATGGGTTGTTAATATTTTTATACTGCGATTACATTAGCTCCCAATTTTATCATTATTTATGTAATTATCTCTTTCTTTCTTTCTTTCTTTCTTTCTTTCTTTCTTTCTTTCTTTCTTTCTTTCTTTCTTTCTTTCTTTCTTTCTTTCTTTCTTTCTTTCTTTCTTTCTTTCTTTCTTTCTTTCTTTCTTTCTTTCTTTCTTTCTCTCTCTCTTTCTTTCCTTCTTTCCTTCCTTCCTTCTTTCCTTCCTTCTTTCTTTCTATTTTATCATTATCTATGTAATTTATCAGTGCAATCAATAGATTTCTTATTACATGTAAAGCTCAATCAATATTCGAACATTTATGTAATGTGTAAATTGAATAAAATTAATAAATTTGCCATTTATCATATTTTTTTTTCATAGTTCAAAATATTGATAAAATAATAATAATAATAAAAAAAAAATTAAATTTAAAAAAAAAAGAGGCAAAAAGTGAAAGGGATTTTTGACGAGCTATGTCCAGATGTAAGATGGCAGGCTCGGCCCTCAGTCCGACCCGGTACACCGGCCGTGCCGTTAAAAGAGTTCGCGGGTCGGGCTGGGACTATTTTTTTATTAAAAACCCGAGCCGGGCCGAAAAATATTTTGAAATCCGGGCCGGGCCTTGCCAAATGGTACCTCTGCAAGTCCGCTATTAACTAAGATAATATATTTAGCGTTCGTGTTTACATTAAAGACATTGATGTATCCACTAGGAAAATTATCGAAAAAATATTATAAATTTTTATGCCCAACCCTGCTCTTTTAATATTTTATTTTTAATTATAAAAAGGGTTTAACAACTTCACCTAATAAAAATATAATGTAAAAAATAAATTATTTGGCATTGTTCACATCAGCTGATATAAAAGAAAAACCCCCTTGGCAGGTAATGACGCAAAAATCCCTCCACTAAAGCCGGCTCAACCTTGCAGCGCGATCAAAGATCGAATCAGCCTTGGAACGCAAAAATATCGGCATTGCTCTTTAACAATGGCTCCGATAAAAAAATTTTCATTGGTCGAGTGTTTTAATGGCAGTAGATCTAAAAAAATAAATAACACTCACTACATTATTTTTTCTATAATTGATCATGTGATTCGTTGATTGACATTGAAGCTGATGCAAGATAGAAAAAAAATTTACCATAATGTGAAACGAAATTTAGTAATTGAATGTTGTATCGTCTCTTAAAAAAAATGATGTCAATTATCTCATTTTGTAATTATGGGATTTCCAAAAACAAGTACAAACATACATGGAAAAATTATTACAATTTTTGCCATCTATACTTGTTTGCCTTTTTTTTATTTTGGTAACATTTGTTGTGGCTAACATTACGCGCTGAAGATTGTCAGAGTCCCTTACCTCATTAAGATATTCTAACAAGTTTTTTAAGACATATCATCATATATACTAATTTCATAGGTGTTTTTTTTCGGAACTAATCTAAAGTAGCAATAAAAGATATATATATATATATAAATAGAAAAAATATCGATTATTTTATATCCTCGCTATCGATTAGAGATTCTGTTTTGCAATGCTTGATTTCTATTTCCCATAAATAAATAAATAACATAATATTATTCACCTTGTTAGCCATTTGTAAGCATAAGAAATTTTGAAAATTCCATCTTGTTATAACAGGGTTAATGAAATTGTAACACTTTTATTGGCCAATTGTCTTGAATTATTTAGCATCGTAGCCGAATTATGCAATTTATCAACAATTTTTATTAAGTTTGGTTATTCTATTCCATAGGTCGCAATAAGGTTAACTATACGGGGCTTGGCACCTAATAGTGTGACTATGAATTGCGATCCTTAAGAATCTCGATGGCACCTACTACATTTGCGTTATTATTAGGGCTGATTAAAAGGATTCTAACAAAAATATCATTACTCTTTTGTAATTTACAAATCATATCTGACACATCCTTTAGCTTCGTGAGGTCGCGGATAAAATAAATGTATTTTATATTCGCTTTATTCGGTAATGGCGCGATATGAAAACCCATTTATACTGGTGTAGGTATCGGTTGTAAGATACGTTAGTTAGCGTATTTTCAAAATATTTGGTTATTTTGACTTGACTCACTATCAAATCTGTCGAAATTTTCCTCTTATCAATCTTACTTTATTTTTTTTCATTTACGACAGTTGATCATGAATTGTACCGATATCGATTGAGTATTAAGGCCCGAACGGCAGCCTTTAAGTAGATTCAAGCATTATCTGGAAGACTCCATTCTATCTGGTTTTGGAATTAAAAAAAAAGTTCAGAGATTCTAGTAATCTTATTTTTCTCCCTCTCACAATATTTCCGATTTAATATGGTTCAATTCATAATAGAAAAGTGTATTTTTTTAAAAATCTGGGCTGAGCAATTATTAAGCTCCGTGAATTGGCAAAGCGACTTGAGGATCAATTAACAAAACCGATGCCAATATTTAGGAGTCATAACGGATCCCTTCAAAGCCAGACATTGGCGGAATTATATTAATAAGATTTGTAAAAAAAAAATTAATGAGATGACCCCCCCCCCCCCCCCCTTCCTCTTTAGAGACGCGAAAATGTAATATGAATGAGACATGTACGTCTCATCTTTATGATTACCAGCCATTTTAATCCAAATTATAACAATCGCTACCATCCCCTCAACTCGCCCATTCGAGCTGGGATGATACGCTGGAGCGTGAACGTGTTGGGTCCATGACTCTCCACAAAACTGTCTAAACTAATCGCTTATGAAGGCTGGGCCCCCATCAGACACTACTAAAAACACCATTTAAATTATGTAGAAATAGCCCCCCCCCCCAAAAAAAATTGCCCTTTTAAATATAATACAAAATTTATTTAATTTATTTTGTTGAAAAATAGGCATATTACCAAAAATCCGGAAATAGCTATAAAATAAAAATTGCTCCTTTTTTATTTTACAGTTGCAGGGTAACACTTCCTAATCTTTGTACAAATTGCCTAGAATGGGCCTAACAGTTATTACACTTTAAATATGATCAGTACGGCTCAAGTCCTATATTAATACCTAATATATAGTAATCTTTGCTTATTGGACAAGTATCCTTAGCACCCAGCTGTCCAAGCCTGTCGGTGATACCATATGTCTTTTACACATCAGTCATCGAAGAAAAACCTGAAATTTTTTACGTTCCTTACCAGGATTGAATCTGGGACCTTCTGTTTTCCAAGCATACATCATAACCCACTGGGCCACCCCGGTTATCAGTAATTTACTTTTTAAAAAATGTGGGCAATTGCAATTATTTTGCGTTTTTATTGTATCAGCAAAAATTTAAAAAAAATATCAATTTAAAATGTTAACGATTATCATTTTTTAACCGGGGGCTGAAAACTCTTTAAAAAAATATTAGAGCCAGCCCGAGCATAAAGCTGTTCAATATACTACCCAACATAGCCCTACTGCGCTTTAACCCCGCTCAACCTAATACCTCTAACCTTTAATTTTATTACGAATAATCGTGACATCATCTTGGGGTTCTTATAAAAGGATAAAGTAAATATAAATGTATTTGTTATCAAGAAAAATAAGTAATTCTCTTTTATCTATTAATTTTTTTTTACAAATTATTTTATATTTTTAAAATTTAATAATTTAATATCCATTAGATGGCGTTTTAACTTAGCAGACCTAAAACAAAATGTAATGAACTTCAGATAAGTACGGAAGAAGTTCAGGGAAGTTGTCGCCATTTCTAGCATAAAAAAGTCTCTCTGAAGTTAAAGGGGAAAGTTTACGTAAGCTGTGTGAGGAGTTGTCTAGTTTATGGCGGCAAAACATGGGCAATGAAAGCGCCCCGCGAAAACCAAATTAGAAAGAACAGAGATGAGGATGATTAGATGGATATGTGGAGTGTATCCCTGAAGGCGAGAAATAACTAGCCAGGAATAGAGAGCAAAATTGGGTATAGAAATGATTGGAGTGGTAAATGTAAATGCGAAGTTAAATAGACTAAAAACGGTTCGGGCATATGGAACGCGAGGCAAAAGATAACTTGGTTCACCTTGACGGAAGTAGGAGGATCGAGACCTAGAGGAAGGTCCAAGATGACGTGGATAAATGTGATAGCGGGCGGATACGAGAAAAAATCAATCTTTACAAAAAGTATCGTTGCTCACAGGATCGTCAAAAAATGGAAAAGAAAAATCCGAGGAAAAATTGGCTCAATCCGGGTAAACCCGGAAATCACCATTGAACTATACTAATTTATAAATAACTACTAACACTAACAGATTTTTTTTGGGGAGTAATTTATTGATCTAAAAAAATATATATATTTATAATAATGTTATTTTATAGGACAATAATTTGTTGTTTTAAAAAAAAATAAATAATTTAGGCGCGTTTTTTCGCCTTCGAATATCTATCGAAAAATAAAATGATTTCTGGAATTTTCTATTCCTTTTTTCCTGTTCCTGACCTTTTTCTTTCGAATTATCACGTGACCAATTAAATTATATTCGTTTAATTTTTAAGCGGGTTCCCTTTCCCCGTTGTAAGCCATATCGGTTACGGACGAGCAAGTCGAAGCGACCGAACACCTACCGTTGTTGTTCGAATCGCGTTTGTGGAGTTTAAATTCTCCTTTTCGAATTTCGGCCAGCAGCTTTTCCACCATGTTTTCGTTTTCGGCTTCGTGCACTTTATCATTTAAATTTAACAAAAAAAAAAAAAAAATCTTTTCATTTTATTCTAGAATTTTCGCGAAAAAAATTTTCTCCTTATCTAAGTATTTTTCCTATGTCTGGGGATTATGTTTAACTCGTCTTTTATCTCTTGCCTAGAACGACGTTGAAATTATAAGGAGAAATATTTATCAGTGGTATGTACAGCAATGGTATCCAGATCATAAAGGTTCTGTTCCCCTTCTTACACCTCTCTTATCCCATATGTTAATGGTTAGTCTCGCAATGGGTATGAAGTCACACCCGGGTTCAAGAAGTTTAAATTCTATTTAGTGGAGATTTTGACAACAAGAACTTTATCGAAACCGAATTGCTGAGAGGAGTCCGGCACCGATCCGGGTCCATATAACCCCGGGTTCGATGAGTTCTCCCATAACCGGTCACTGTTTGGTATGCGCTTTCAAAATGTCCCAAACCAAACAATTTTAAATTTCCTGAATCCCGTGTGCGCAGCGCGAGAATGTCTCAAAGAATAACTCAAATATGATTCGAGATAAAATCAGTATAACCTTGAAGGGAAGATCTGCCACCGGAAGCCACGAAGTTGGGTTGTCTGGCCCGCCTTTTGATCTCGTTCTCCGCGTTTACTTTGCGTTGATTGTTGTCCTTGAAAATAAAAATATGATATGTCACGTGTATGGAATGGATTTCTATTCAGGATTTTAGGGGAGGGAGGGGTTAGGGTTTAGCTGAACGACATAGAGTGCGTACCATAATTTCGAAGCGTCCATCCAATTTTTTATAAATATTTCCCCTTTCGCGATAATTCGATATAAATAGAATTAGTAACATGTTACGTATAATAAATTATTCGATCATCGAATCATCGGATTTCGGTTATTTCGCCGTGAACAATTTGAACTACCCTTAATTTATATCCGAGACCTGCAGGCCTGGCCATAAACCCGGTCCGACCCGGCCATAAACCCGGCCCGACCCGGCCATAAATCCGGCCCGACCCGGCCACTATAACCCGGTCCGACCCGGCCATAAACCCAGTCCCGGCCCGGCCCTTTTAATTTTTTAAAATGTATCCGGGCCGGGCCGAAAAATTTTTGGTAAAAAATTCGGGTCGGGCCGGGTTGTCCAATCGGTACCTTCTAAAGGTCTACGATTTGTTTAAATTTTTTTATATTAGGGTTTTCCATATGACGAAATTGTTAGGGTAATAGGTACTCCATGCATCCTGGAATAATATTCTCATCGATATATTTCAATTTTTTTTTATTTAAAAACCCTTCTTTGCTATAAAGGGTATTAAAACTAAAAACCAGGTAGGATCCATGAAAATAATCTAGAATCTAAACTCTCATACGCGACATTAGAAGAACAGTTATTTTTTTTTAACCTTTTTAGCCTGTTCAACCTTGTCGCAAAAATTGTTGAACATCAGGAAGAATTCCTGCAGATTGAACTTGGCTTCGTCTTCACAATATCTGCCGGCCAATTTTTTGACCATTCCTTGGGCATTCTCCATATCCGCTCTCAAATCTTTGACTTTCTTTTTGGTGAACTAATATTTTTCGCCATATATTTTAAAAGATGGAGGATTAAAATTTTTTTACAAATTTAAATCATTATAATTTTTCATGAAAGAAAAAAAAAAGAATAGAGAGAGAAAGAAAGAAAGAAAGAAAGAAAGAAAGAAAGAAAGAAAGAAAGAAAGAAAGAAAGAAAGAAAGAAAGAGAGAAAGAATGAATACCAAATTTTTAAAAAGTGAAAGAATTAAAGGTGATTTTATAATTTTAACGGAAGAATACGAGTTTACAAAAAAAATAAATAGATATCTATCTAAATAAAATATATTTTTTTTTCAAAAAAAGACATTTAAAAAAAACAAAAAAAACTATAAAAAAATACAAAAAAGAAACAATTATTTAGAAACGAAAATTTAGATAGGCAAGCCTAAAAGATTTCATAAATCTATTGGCCAAATTCCAAGGCTTTAATATTTTTCCGACTAAAAAAAAATCGAATCATCCGGGTTTTAAAAACCGGCTCAAACCGAGCCGTTCAACAACACTATTCGGGTAGTTTTATATCGGTTTTCCTTTGCGTGATTTTTGTTGCGTTTATTGCAGACATTATATATATTTAAAAATCCTTTTAATTAATCGATACCAACTGAGGAGTCGTAAATGATTAAATAGAGTAAATACCGTGATGAAATCTAGAAATTTGCCCTTAATTTCGGCGTTCGAGTTTTTGACATCTTCCTCCAGCTGTTCCACGTTTTTGTGCATTTCGTTGGCCTCCATGTTCAAGCTATCCATAGATATCCTGTCATTATGTTTTAATTTCGAATCGTTAGAACAGTGAAAGTAACTAAAATACTCTCCTATACAAAGAGATTAAAAAATTTTTTGTTGCCCCATGACCTACGCCATTTTAGGTTGCATTATCGTTAAAAAAATTAAGCGTAATTTTAAACTGATATTGTGGGTTTCAATTCTATAAATATGCTTAGAATTACTACAAGTCTAATCAGGGGTTTGGCAGTCCATGCTAATATACCGATATTTAGTATACTAGAAATTTGTATTTTTTTTTTAAAATATACCTAAAAATAAAAGGTAATTTTTTGTATTTATTACGATTTCACGATTTCAACGATTTTTCACGTTTGATTTTTAAAATGTATTCGAGCTATATGGACATTTCTTAAAAAATATCGGCAGGTACCAATGTGAAAGCTTAATTTTTAATTACATTCTCAACTAAAAAGTAAAGACCATAATCAGTAAATAGGAGCAATTCCATCTTCCGGAAATATCATTGTAGTGCTCTGTAAAACTTGTCCCCATTACATTAATTTATGTTATGTGCTACTGCTGCAAAAAATATATTATTTTATATTAATGTTTTTAATTTGAAGATATTCTAATCGAATAATTATAGAAAATGGTGACTCATAAAAAGTATTTGCCAAAGTATTTATTTGTATTTATATTATTTCAAAGATACATTTTTTTTTTATTAAACATATTTGTATTTATATACGAATACTTTTTTTATAAGTGCATTTGTATCTAATATTTTAAAGATATTTTTCTTTTATAAAAAACATGTATTTGTTTTTATTATTCTAATAAATTTCTTTTGAATTTTTTCCTTTCCCAAAAACTCCAAGATTAATCCAGAATTTACTTTTGTACTGATCGCAGAGCCGACAATTCGCGAGGAAATTCTAGAATGTTCGGATCCAGGTTGCAGGCCATGTCCAGTATATAGTGAAGTAGCGTCATTCGCGGCGTTTTGGATCTCGTGTCCATGAGCTTGCACAGGAAGCTCACCTTGAACCCGAGCGCGTTGCCGGCATAATTATTCTGAATCATATAAAACAAGTTTTGAAAAACGGCGAAAATCTGTCATCCTTGCTCACATACATCCTCAACACATAATTCTGAGACCTGTTAGAGGTACCATTTTCGCGGCCCGACCCGAATATTTGGCTCGGCTCAGGTATTTAAAAAAGTTTTGGGCTCGGTCCGGCACTAGTATAAAAAAAAAATTTAAAATACGAGGCCCACATACTCTGTCCAGGTCTAAGAGGCCGGGTCTGTCGGTCTAAGTTCACTTATAATATATATTGCTTGTTTCTGGACCACAAGAAAGCTGTGTTAGAAGTGTACATTAATTTTTTTTTTTTAAAGGCATTTTTTGTACAAATACTTTGAACTTAATTGGATGTCTGAATTAGAGGTCAGCGTTGGGCCGATTTTTATCCGCCCGCCCATATTTCAGACGGGCGTGGTCAGGAACAACGATTGGGGAAAGGGGATTCCTGGCTAAAAATGCGCCTGTTGCAGATCTCTAACCGGAAGTTCGTTAAAATAAAATTGATATGACGGGAAAGGTATATAACTCAACTTTGGAACGTGTGGCACAAAATGGAACACACATTACTAATGCTATAATATATATATATATGCATATACGTCAATTACATTAATAATACCTACTAGACCGACGACGCGTTCATAATAATGCCTTTTGCAAGCGTCTTCGTATGCAAATCAGCTGGAT